CCACCAAGACCACTTGAAAATGGAGTTTATTACCGTTCTGTAAGTGCTCTGTTATTCTCCTGGCAATCTTAATCTTTCCAGGGTAACCCTTCCCCTGCCCGTTGTCCAGCGCAATCCAGTCACCGGAGCCAACAAAAACACATTTTCAGATGAATAGTCATGCCTTCTCAGAAACCTCAGATGGGCTCCCTCTACGATAAGCTTTTACTCACTGCAAAATGTCTTTGTTTGATAAACTCTGGTTCAGCAAGCCACCGGGTCGATGTCCCTGAGCAATCCTGGCCTATTTGGGAGACTAGCATTGGCTTGGACTACGGGAGTTCCCAAAGACATGAAAATCGGTCTGGAGAACGTTTGAAGGAAGGCGCACTTCTTGGAAGGGCTGCTGACCGCCAACAAAGATGGTGAAAGTGCCAGGCTCCAACCACCACTGACCAGCCCATACGGCTCTCTGTCTGAAAGGTAACAGGAAGGCCAACTTGGCAGCGTGTCCCTGGCGTATCGGCAAGCGGCGGAAGCCAACTAGCTGCCAGTGGGGCATAGGCACAGACGCTTGTCCCCAGCGGAGGTAGAGCTGCACCACCTACAGAGGAGACAAAATGTTAGAAGTGAAGAGAAAGGCCTCAAGAGGAGAAGACCTCAGTAGATTCTCCACACGTACAAAGCATAGTCCTATTTTTGGAGCATCTTCAAGGATAGGGAGATCTTTTTTTTTTTTTTTGGGAAACACATTTTATTGGTTTTTTAATTCTTAAGACAAAGTGCTCAGGACACACCGTGGTGTTTGGGTAATCAAGCATTCAAAAATAAAAGCATATATAAATAACTCAACTCAATACATTCAATGTCCCCTCTCTATTTCCCTCAAATAGCATAGTACGTTTAAAATGTTCCATTTCTAATTTAAATTTCTATAACTGCTAAACCTGTTTTAAAACTTTGCGAGTTTACAATTACCATAATCAAATTTAACTTTAAATCAACAAGTTATCAATTCAGGTCTCCCTTCCAGATATGTTCTAATTCTTAATCTCTCACATCCCTCATTTTATCACAAGTCTCGTTTATTTCTTCTTCCACTACGCAATACATATCCTAATTAAAATAAAATATTAATCTACCCTATACATATATAATCCATCCATCCATCAATCTCTTTAAGATAACAAAATAATGTTAAGCCTTAAATCATTTCAGTTCATTAAACAAAATTCAAATTTCAAAGGATAGGGAGATCTTTTATAAAAAAAACCCCGAATCTACATGAATGACTGCTGCCTCTTTCATCTACTCATCTGAAAATTATGGATCATTTTCCTCTCTGCTTGTTGAGATTAGAGACAAACATCTGTATGATCCAATTTGGAAGGATGCAATGAACGGGATCCATTTCTTTCTCTCCTCCTTTCTAGCAAACCAGGGGAACACTATGAATCCTGCCAGTGGTGGAAATATGAGAACTACGTAGCTTCTAAGATCCAGAGAAGAGTTATTGCTTTTTAATCCCTGTCTGACTGTGGTTCTCTATCAAATAACAGGCTGCTGTGAATATTCTGCACTTGAAGCAAAACACACTACATCAAAAAGAAACATCGAACATATAAGCCAGCTGGATGTGGACAAATATTCCTTATTAGTAATAACAAATAACAATAACAATTCATAATTTATTAGTAATATTATCTTCTTATCCGTTCCTGTTTCTGCTGCCCTGCAACCTGATCCCTAAAAATTCTCTTTCAGCCAAGTCAAAACTGGCTCTCCGTTCTTTGTTCAATGCTGTTCCTCATGGGAGCTGCCAACAAAGACCTGGGGACTGAAAATCAGCCACCATTTTGGATTCATAACCCCTGTGAGATGTCACCACCACTTACTCATTTCTTAAAAACCTCTATTCCACCATAAATGGGCCTTATAAAATATATACAAATATCCTTAGGATGTTGAACTTCGAAGTCAAGGGCGCCGAATTTGTCCCTCAGCAGAGATGCTTCCAACTCTTGGCGGTCTTCAACTTGACTCTCCATCCTCACATCCTGGACTTTATGCTAGAGTTTTCACCCATCTCACCCTCTTTTATCCCACCCCCTCTGCCCCCACCAGTCTTTGCATGCAGACAAGCAACAGAATTGCCTCACCTCTTCACCATCTCTGGATCCAACGTTCTCCACCACCACAGAGATGGTAAGATTGCCACAAATGGGCACTTGGTCAGCACTCACTACCAAGTCACGGTACTGGAAGGTGGTATATGAGAGTCCGAAGCCAAAGGGGTACAACGGGGTCTGTTTTCCGTAGTAGCGATATGTCCTGCCAACCATTGTGTAGTTCTCTATTGGCGGTACCTACGGTTGAGGGCAAGATTAGCTGAAGGAAATGGAAAGACTTGAAGCTATATGTTTACGGAGATTCTCAGTCCTCCAAAGTCATGGTTGTTTTCAAAGGCAACTGGACTTCGTTTTTCCTTGAAGATGTTTTGTTTCCCACTCAAGAAACTTCTTCATTTCTAGAAATATTAATGTTGGAGATAGAGCTAAAACCAGAACTTTTTTTATTGGGCATAACCATAGAGAAATATGACAAAGGGATAGTCTACTTGATGTTGCACATCTTGACTGCTGCTAGACTGG